GCCCCACTCTCAGTCCCAACAAGAGATAAGACACAGGTATTGTAACGCTGACCCTTCCCGCCCCACTCTCAGTCCCAACAAGAGATAAGACACAGGTATAAATAGGCCATTAATTATGCGAGCAAGCAGTGACATTCTAATAATCGGCCCGGAACATCGATCACAGTGTAAAAGTTCTCACTCTAAATGTATCAATTTTATAAAACTGTTGTAAAATAAACATACGCTGAAAAGCCATAGCTTTCCTGCTTCTTTTAAAAAGCGAAGTCATTCAAATCCTGCGTACAGCACGTACATCTTCGTCGCGCTTCGCAATTTTGCTTGCGCTCTCTACGCGGTTCCTTTCTCGGTTCGATATTCCTGTGGCCCATTCTGAGAATTGCTACGTGATTTATTTCGTAGATTTCATCCACCCTCCTATTAATTCAACCACATCTGCCACCTAACACTTAGCTTAGCATTTTTATGTAGAAAATAATGACCTACATCGCTGGTGCAGTAATAAATATGTATTGCAGATTTTAATTTGGACTCTGTATGATACTACTTCTCACCTTCATACAATGTTCGGCTGAGATTTTCTCAAACATCATAAGGTCATTAAAGGTTAAACTCATCTGACATTGAGCCCATCGACAAAACTCAACGCGATTCATGAAGTCGTTCCCATCGAATTCTTGGTGAAGACTAACATGGTACGGATGAAATTTGTGATTGTGCAAAATGCGAAGTACGCACCTTCTACTAATATTGAAAGAATGAAAAGTTTGGATAGTGGATTCTATGGTAAAAATGCTGGTGTAATAAAACGAGACATATTCTAACAAATAAGATCGGTACAGAGGAAAGAAATGTTCAGTAGAATGATGATATGTCATGAAGTTCGCGAATGATACGATCAGGTGACCGATTTAAGACTACAAAGCTGTAGCGAAGTTTGCAAGTGCAATAGATTGGACGAAACTAGACTGCAAGCGCAGAGAAATTACGAGCGAAACCTTTTGGATCGCAATGTGCGGGCCTATTTGTATCGACGTGGCCATCGACTAGGAAACGGAAAGGAGTGGTACTTTTGAATATAGGAAGGACTAAGCAGCGCTGAACGTTCATTATAATGCATGAGGACAATGCCCTAACGAACAGCGTTGCAGGCGAAACAACGAAAAATAGGTAACGGGTTTGATATTTTGGATTATTGGAAGATTGTTCCAGGTGATAAATACATTATGATGTACAAACAGGAGAACGTTTAGTATGTACAATTACGGGTAGTTCACCTGGGCCGGAGTCAAGCTCGAACAGCTGAGTTCGATTCTGTGTACAAAAACTAGCTACTGTTTTTTTTTCATTTTTTTATACATCGTCCCAGGTAACACGAGTAAGGACGAGGTGATCAACCGCGATCTAACATTCATTGATTTGATTTTAGACAACACGAGAACACACAGAGATTGGAATTTGTGCGTTTCGAACACAATGCAATTCAGAAATTGAAGCGTGTAGAGAGCGCAAGATCAAAACAGAGCGTGACAAGGACGGGCGTACGTGGCACGCGTTTGCCGGATCAAGATAGTCGATGCGCAGAGTGTTCGAACGCGAACGGAGCGTGACAAACATGCACGTACGGCGCGTGAATACCGGACCGAGAAAAACTGAGAAATCACGTGTCAGAGCGGGATTCGCCGGTCCGTTACAATGGCACCGGTTTCGCTAGGAAAACAGAGAAGTCGCGGAAACACGCATCGGAGCGAGAGCCAAGATTTGAAGTATGTAGATCCCCGAGAATCGCACGTAACGCGATGATGCACTCGAGCGAGTGAAGCGAGATCGAGAGAATAACGCGGTAATCGGATAATTTCGTTATCTGAAGGTGGAGACGCGACTGACGGTTAGGGAGTGCTTTCTCTAACACATGGTTGGAGGCGATAATGTTTCACACATGACTTGTGCATGCTAGTAAAGTAGTAACTATCCTCCATATTGTTTTATTTAGATAATAAAGATTAACTGTGCCATTCATTCTCTACGAAGTAATCAAGTTTTAATTTATTTCTAGGTTGTCGAGGCCCCTTAAAGAAAAAGTTGTAATGTGCATTAAAGCAACAGAAGAGATTTTCAGGGATGAAAATTTAATCTTACTGGCGATTTGGCTTTTATTAGCTGATTTTCTGTATAGAGATACTGAATTACGGTATTTGAGTATTCGTTTAACTAACGGTATATGTTCTTTTTTCAAACGATGAAATAGTTGATATGTTTATTGCTCCACATACATACTTTTGTATTAAGTGTGGAATACGTCTGTGTTCTGATATACCATCTTCTAGTAGGATTAGTTCCTAATGATACGGAGAAGTTATGCAAAAATCGTTTTCAAGGTATGTAGTATAAGGTGAAGTTATGCAAAAATTAGTTTAATCAAAAGGATATTATAAAACTGGTCATCACATTTATTCATACTTTCATTAACTGGAAAAAGGACCAACGGTTCAATGTGAAGATAAGAATGTGAACGTGTTGGTGTTGGCATATCTAAGATTGAATGTTAGGCAAGTAGGATATATTTATTACTAGATAACATTTTTTGTATAGGTGAAATCCTCATTTTTAAAGAAATTCATATGAATACGACAGTATTTTTGTTACATTTTAAAAAAATAACCTTGAGCCTGTATTTAAAAAATAAAAATTTTTTTAGAATTTTAAAAGTTGTAAAAACAATTTTTCAATCAGATCAAAATTCACTTGAAAAGGTAGATCCTACCCAAGTAAAATTAAAGAAAGTACACCTTGATGCAACCAATAGTTTCGGAGATAACAATTCCGAAGTACGACTCATTTTTGCAAAAATGGGCAAAAATCGTAAATTTCGGGACCCTGAATGTTTTGATCAAATTCTAGATTCGCAAAATGATGACTTAAATCCCTTTAATATCACATAGAGTACATCATCGAGGGAAAAAGTAATCGATTTGGCGTGTAGCTTCTGCCTCTTGCAATTGACAGAAACATTATTATTTTGTATAATGATATGTAGTCTACTCATGACACCTTGAATGTTTCTGAGATCTTAAGTTTCTAATGAAGATATTGATGAAGGTCATTATTAGAAGTCACATACACAACTAATTTAAATTTATTTTTTATTCATATTGCACATAATGACAACTGAATTTACAGAGATACTATTATCTTATGGATGTCAATTACCCTTGTCGATTGCATACATCCTACAGAGCAAAAAATGTAGTCATAAATATAAATTATCCATAAACAATAATTAATAACACGTTTGTATAGAGTTACCGTACCGGACACATTGCTTGTACTTCTGGATATTGGCACCTGCTTCTGTAGTAGGTGTAACATTTTGATGGAGCCTTGAAGAAAAACGAATTATTTTAATTATGATAGAAATTATACAAGGTGTGCCGTAATTATGTTGACACTCGCGACTTTGTTTACGCCAATGAGCGGAACTGAGCTTCGACTGCTTATTGGTTCGGGCGCTTACCGCCAGCCGTACTCGCCTCACACTGGTTACTGTTTTCCATTCATAATTCGTAAACGAAGCCGCGAATTGCATTTTTGCTGATGAAGAAGTCACTTCAAATGACCTCAGGAATCACCTCTTTCCTGGTATCAACATAATTATGTTGTATACATGTTGGCCCAGCAATGCTATTATATCCAGGTATTATTCAGGAGATTTGAAAAATCGCGAAAATGTTGGCAAAGTTTTCGTTAACGCGTTATTAACTAAAAAATCAGGACAAGGGCATAACGGCGCACAGTGATCCGGATCGAAAAATTCTGTGACTTTTTGTTATAACTTTTGAACCAGTAGAGATATTACAATGAAATTTTCACCAAAAATATTTGAAAAACTATCATTTTTAATTATGGATAAGTAAATATTTTTTGCATTTGTTAAACAATAATCTTAAATTAATTTTCATTGATATTTTATGTGGAAAAGAAAATTGTTTAAATATAATTTTACGAACTATTGTTTACTTTCTAAATATATATTTCATGTTTATGTTTCATACATGTAACATTTCATAGAACACGTAAAATATAAATCCGAGAAACTTTTTGGTAATCAATGCATAAAAAATTTAAAAACGTATGATGAGTGTGCCAAAATACATTTTTTATAA